ATGGCGGTGATGTGAGCGTCAGTCCTCAGGTCCTTGTTGTCCGCCGCACCGTGTCTCATCTCCTTGGTGTGTCTCCACAGAGATGCAATGAGCAAGGTGGATGATAATACAAAGAACAGAAGCGGGATGACTGCCAATGTCAGGAACATGATGAAACCCTTGAAGTAGGAGATGGTCCCAACGGGGCTGTCAAAGGTGGCATTTCTCAGAAAGCTCCTGGTTGAGTTGCAGAGGTGGACACTATAATCCATCCAGATGAAAGGGAGGGAAGAGATCAAAGAGACCAGCACCGAACCCAGCAGAATCTGCGGAACCATCCTGACGACTCTCAGCTTGATTAGCAGAAAGTACCGCTGGGTGAAAGTGCTGATCTTGGCACAGTAGAACATGCTGAGACACGCAGCAAACCAGAGGCAAGCTGTGCTGGCCAAAACCAAGAGGACATAGTGGACTCTGATCACTTCCCACTGGTACATCTTCGGTAAGAGGGCAGAGTGCAGGATGGTTCCCTGGAGAAGAAGCCGAGATGAACAGAGGCAGACCAGGATGACGTCGCAAGTGGGCAGCTTTTTCCTTTTCGCCCAGTCTGTGTAGCCAACGGCCACAATGAACGCACTGGCAGCCATGCCCACAGTGCCCTGGCTCACAATTATGACTTGTAAGGTTTTATGAACAGAATCTGACATCCTTGCACTCACCCTTGCCTGTGCTTCTTGCCTTGGTGATATATCCACAGACAATCCGTGATTTGGACAATCCTGTCAAGGATCTTCAGGGGTAGCATGTAGCTCTGATCATGTTCAGAAACAGTAGACAGGGCAATGTGAAGTATTGGTATTACCTGGTTCCATCAGTCCTACAGCCTTCCATTCTTTTGGGATCCAGCCAGAGCACATGCATTGTCCACACAACAATTCTCATTCTCCTGGTCCAGGAAGTCGCCTGAAATCTATACTGTGTGTTTTATTTTGGTGTTGTTTCAGGGCATGCAAATGATTGGTGTGATTTCCAATTTGGCTTTAATCCCAGCCGTTCTCCTGAACATACATTTGCAAGATGCATCTGCTCAAACACATCTCTTGTTACTTTCACCCCTCCCTGCTGTCCATTCTCTTCCTATAGTCACACTTTAGATTCTAAGATCTTCAGGGTGTGATAGGAATTTTATGGTCTTAGATATATGGTAATGTTCATAACTGCACATACATAGATCAACACAGGAAGACCAACCTGGAACCATTTTGATTCCTAAACTGACCAAATCCTTTCTCTGCAAGGTTAAACTGGAAAAGCCTCCCCATTGTCTCTTTCCTCACAAATCCTGTCTCAAGGATATGTCTGTTTGAATAAGGTGTGAGCCTGTGACCTGTCCCAGGAAATAAGTATTTTACCACTACAAAAGAATGGCCAGGCTCCCCAGGAAATCCAATCAAGTAACTTGCCAGACAGGAGATAAACTGTGACAGGAGAAAAACAACATTTAAATTTCTGTGATATAGGTGGGATGTATCTGAGGGGTGGTCTTAGGTTACACCCCTTCTGTGATGTATGTGTAATGTTTCTGGGAGTGGTCTTTATCTAGAGAATGGGAATTTCAAAAGTCTTTATAAGCCCTTGCACAGCATCTTTCTGGGTTCCTCCTCCTTTCCTTCGTGTGAGGGGAGCACCCTGTTGCAACAGATCAATAAAGATCAAGCTTACTAGCTGCTTTGCTTCTCAATATTCTCTGGTTGGCCTCTGTTATTTTCTCCTACCAATAGGGAACCTATGTAAGGTCTCTATATGGGCTCTTGGATACCCCATAAGGGAAAAGGGCATTATTTTTATTTACAACAAGGGCTACAAACGATGTGTGTTGTTGTTGTTTTTCTTATGCTACAAAATATGAAGGATTGAGAATACTCCTCCTTCATGATCCCATTTGCAGCCCACTAAAAATAGGTATGTGTGTTTTCAGGGTCAGTAGGTGTATGATTATAGGGTGGAAAATTATCAGAGGAATTCCTTTGGGCTGATGACTGATCTATCGCTCTCCCCCCCCCCCCAGTGCTCTGTTCCTGGGGGACATCCTTTCTTTACCCTGACAAACTTTTCCTCCAAAATATCATTTGGGACATTGGGGGACGGGGAGATATGGTGAACCCATCAGAGATGCAAGGGAACTCTGGTAAATTTCAGGCCCTCCTCCCTTCCCTCCAAAAATATTTGCAGTTCTTGAAAGAGAAGAGGGAGTTTTGTACCCTCCTGCCCATGCAAAATAAAATAAAATAAAATAAACCAGCCCATACGTTCAAAAATTTTGCCAGACCTACTGGTGAAGATAAAATTGAGCGCTGATGTTATTGTGGGGGCTGCTTTGACCCATGGAACCAGGCAGAGGGCCTTCTCGGTAGTGGCGCCCGCCCTGTGGAACGCCCTCCCATGAAAGAGATAAACAACTACCTGACATTTAGAAGAGATCTGAAGGCAGCCCTCTTCAGGGAACTTTTTAATGTGTGACATTTTGATGTATTTTTAATCCTTGTTGGAAGCCGCCCAGAGTGGCTGGGGAGACCCAGCCAGATGGGCGGGGTACAAATAATAATATATTATTATTATTATTATTATTATAGTGCTCACTGGAAGGACAGATCGTGAAGCTGAGGCTCCAATACTTTGGCCACCTCATGAGAAGAGAAGACTCCTTGGAAAAGACCCTGATGCTGGGAAAGATGGAGGGCACAAGGAGAAGGGGACGACAGAGGACGAGATGGTGGGACAGTGTTCTTGAAGCTACCAGCATGAGTTTGACCAAACTGCGAGAGGCAGTGGAAGACAGGAATGCCTGGTGTGCTCTGGTCCATGGGGTCACGAAGAGTCAGACACAACTAAACGACTAAACAACAACAACAACAATTATCATCATCATCATCATCATCATCTGCCTGCCAGAAGGGACTATGTAGGCCAGAGGATGACAAGAGAGAGAATGGAGTGGGGAGAGTCATTTGTGGCATATAAGGGAGGAGAACAAGTACTTTTCACACAGAGCACAATTAAAACTATTGGACTCACTGTCACAAGATGTGATGGTGGCTCAGGTGGCTTCAGAAGGATGTTAGGCAAATTCATGGATGTTGTGGAGTTGAAAACCTGCCCCCCTGCCCTGGGGGCAGTTCAGCTTCTTCGTACTCCCTTCCATCCAAACCTAAACCTTAAGTGATGGCATTTCAACATCTGCATGTGCGCGTGCACACACACACACACACACACACACACACATCATGGGATGGGACAACTATTGCTTAACCCCCTGCCTCAAGTCACTGCTGAGCATTTTTTAATCCACCTTTCCCTTTATTTCCTCCTTTTTAAATGGCATGACATGAATGAGAGGTTTAGAACACAGCAAGAAAGATCACTGGACTTTCCAGTTCTGAAGCTTTATTAAGAGGAAGGATAAAGGCAAAGAAACAAAGAGTTTATTCTCTAAATACCGTATACCAGACAACTGAACATAGATGCCGAAGCTTGCATGCATCGTCCATGACATTCTGAGATGACAAAGTGGTGGCAAGCGGATAAGAATGGATGGCATATTATAAGCCTCATTTTCATCCCTGGAGACTCGGGGGAGAGGGCTGGCAGAGGGAAGAGAATCCACTTCTCAGGTGTGAGCAGGTGATGTGCATTTGGTGCATGTCGTTCCAGCAAGTACACAGAGGGAAATGAGCCACTGATGTTTTTCCAACTTGAGAAGATGGAAACAAAAGGAGTGCCATGGGAGATATTTCTTATCAACTCCTGGTAGGCAGAAATTATCAGGGAGGGTGGAATCCATCCCACTGATGCATAGAATAGAGAACATGCATTCTCTGAAATTGAGAATCTAGCCAGGTATTTTATTCTTAGGGCCACCTGCAGAGAAAAGCCATCAGTGACAATTAGCCATTGTTTGTAGTCTAACCTACAGAATAGATAATGCGTGGTGAAACGCTTTCAGCCTAAACCTGTAGGGCCACATTGCAGCTGTGGGTGGAGCCAGAGGAAAAGTGGGTGGAGCAATGAATATAATTTTTGCTAGTTTGCACTCACACTCACATCCCCCTCTCTATCCTTTAGCCGGGAAGCAAGAGGCATTATGCAACAATGCTTTCTCTATGTTCTTTATCCCACTTCCTATTTACACATCTGCCCTTAGGGTCCAGTTCCCAGGTCCACTATTTAAATTACCAGCAGCAACTAGGGATGGATGGAGTTTCAATTGCTCTGCATTTTTAACTGAACCAAGCTAATTGACACATTCCAAACTAATACACAGAACAGAACATAATCATTTTTCACATTTTGCACTTCTCCAAAATTTATGCGATATAATTTTCAAAAAAGTACCAAAATGAATGAACAATTCCCGCATTTTGGGTTTAAAAAATGCATTTGAAAATACACATAAAATGTGTATTTAAATATGCATTTTGTGATAACATGCATACTTAAAAAGTATTTAAAGTGTAAATCCCCCATGTATATATTACAAATAATGTGGGAACAGGACAAATGGATTTATGAATGAACATATGAGAGATTGGCATGGCTCCTTCTTTCTGTAGTGGCAACAATGTGCCTTGATTTGTCCACCCTGCCATTCACAATTAAAGCTACAATTGTCAACACACTTCCTCTTCCAGAGCTCATGAATCCAATGGAACACACCCTCAGCACCTGCATCTGAAGACCAGAGCATGAATCAGCATGAGCTTTTTTTGAAACATGACAATATTGTTCAAACGAGGAGCCGGATAGTGTTTCTTAGCTTTTTCTGTTGTAGCAAATGATCTTTCCTTCAAGCCACATGATAGAAGAATAAGATCATTTCCTCCAGACTCTGCCAATGGAGATACAGAGATGTCACCAAAGGCTGTTTGGCTTCTGCTCAAAGAAATGTCTGAGTAATTTTTAGGAAGGTTTGGAAAAAAAGAGGCTTGACTACTAGTAAATTTCACAAGATGCTTCAAACATCCCTAAGACTGACTCGTTCCTTTGGGAGTCTTGGGATAGGAAGGTGATATAGTTGCCCACAGTCTCTGACGCAGAGGATCCCACAAAGTCATGAGGAACATCTGCCTGAGTTTGGAATTTGTGATAATCAAACTGATGGCATGTCCTGAATGATATCCGGCCACCATAACAATGGAGAATACCACTGTCAAGGGATTGATGAACAACATGAGTGAAATCTCAGCTGCAAAGGCTACAGTGTAGAGGAGAAGGAATGATGCCACCATCTTGACTGCTCTCAATTGAACGTCCATCCTCTGATCTCTAAAACCTTCTCTGTTCTGTTGCATCCTCTTAACATGGTGCAGAAGGGACTGAATCAAGAAGACAGAAGAAGCTAAGCATATAATAAAGGATGGGAATGTCCCTGCAATGTACAGAAGAGAAGAAAATAGCATCCCAGTGGTCTGAACATAACACCTCCCAGTACTGTTACCCAAAGGGAGATTTGTCCCATTGCAGCATTGGTAGCAATCTTCAAACCAGTTGAAAGGAAGGGAGACAAGTAAGGAACCCAACACTGATCCTAGGAGCAGGTGTGGAACCATCCTGGAGATCCCCATCTTAATTTTCACGAGGAGAGGTTGGGTAAAGGTGAGAATTTTCATGCAGTAAAAGGCAGCAAGCCACGTGGCTGTCCACAGAGTAACAGCATTGAAAAATGCCCAGAGGAAAACGACAGATTTTGGCATATGTTTTGGATTGCTGATGTCAGTAAAAACTGAGTAATGGATGCCCAAAGTTAGCCCCAGGAAAAGAAGGCGGGACACACTCAGCACCAACAGGATCATGTCGGAGGAAGAGAGCGTTTTGTTTCTGGACCATTCGAAGCCACTTGCAATGGTGATGAATCCGTTTCCCATCAAGCCGATGACAACCATAGCTGTGATGACAATGAGAGAGAGAAAATGGAGAGAAGCTGATCCCAACATCTCTCCTCGATTTGCAGACAAACAGAAGCTGATGAGAGTCTTCCTGTACCTTGGACAGCAGACTGTCTGTGTGGCTAAGATCCCATGCAGCTCTCTGTCTTTTATCCAAGGGAGGGCTAGAAATGCTGCAGAAATTTATTTAAGCTAGGATTGTTTTGCTAGAAACATAAATATGGACTGGGCAGGTCAACATCCTGTTTGCGAAATTTGCATGGTCTTTTCCATGCCTCTGTGTACCTACTGTCAAGTAAATGTGGACGTCAAAGAGTGGTCTCCTTCTGTCATCCTGACTGCCAAGCATATTGCAAGACTCATTAGAAGCATATGGATTTGAAGAGTCAGACCTGAGAGGTCCCCATATTGGGAGGGAAAATGATATAATTGGACCCTGTTCATATAGCCAGGACACGCCTGTTCAGATGATCACCCAGCCCTTAATCTATCTTAATATCATCTCTGTTTTATGGAATGGTCTTCCCAGAAATGTCCACCCGGCCTTGCCATCATTGCAGCATCAGGAAAAGGTGTTTTTCTTTTCCCAGGCATGTGGGCAGAATCAACAATATTCTATTCTATTCTATTGCTAAATCTGTTTTTAATATACACGCTGTAAGTTTCATTATATGCCTGTTGTTTTTGTCCATGGAGTTTTCTTGGCAGGGATACTGGAGTGGCTTGCCGGTTCCTGCTCAAAGCAGAGACATCACCTTGCCGACAAAGGTCCGAAATAGTTAAAGCTATGGTTTCCCCAGTAGTGATGTACGGAAGTGAGAGCTGAACCATAAAGAAGGCTGATCGCCAAAGAATTGATGCTTTGGAATTATGGTGCTGGAGGAGACTCTTGAGAATCCCATGGACTGCAAGAAGATAAAACCTATCCATTCTTAAGGAAATCAGCCCTGAGTGCTCACTGGAAGGACAGATCCTGAAGCTGAGGCTCCAATACTTTGGCCACCTCATGAGAAGAGAAGACTCCCTGGAAAAGACCCTGATGTTGGGAAGATTGAGGGCACCAGGAGAAGGGGACGACAGAGGACGAGATGGTGGGGCAGTGTTCTCAAAGCTAGCAGCATGAGTTTAACCAAACTGCGGGAGGCAGTGGAAGACAGGAGTGCCTGGTGTGCTCTGGTCCATGGAGTCACAAAGAGTCGGACACAACTAAACAACTAAATGACTAAACAACAACAAAGTTTCATTTTTGTATTATTATTTTTACTTGCTTGCAAATCACTTTAGGACTCTATTTCAAGAGTCAGGTGATTTACAAATTTAATAAGCTTATATTTTGTTGCCTGAGGTGGAGAACAAGATGGCACCCCTCCCCATTCAACAAAAGCCTGATGATAAAATTGCACCCTTCACTACATCTGGGGGTAGCAGGTTCACTTAGTGGCTCAAGAACAGGTCGTGTACATACACAGCTGTGTTCTCAAGAGAGGCAAGTAGCTCAGGAGGAACAGCTGAGAGGTTACTATTGTTGACCTCCAGCATCAGTTGCCCGAAGCAGTTGTCTCACTGTGCCAATTGGTAGGGCTGCCCTGATCTAGACCGCATTCACATGCTGCATTTAAATCACTAATGTTTATTATGTGTATTGAATTTCTATACCACCCTTCATCTGGGGATCACAGGGCTGTTTATAATATAAAGCTACAGTTATAGAGTGGTTTAACAATCAATAGAGAACTCTGGGAATTGTAGCTCCGTGAGGGAAACAGGGGTCTCCGAACAACTTGCAGCACCCTTAACAAACTACAGCTGCCAGAATTCTTTGGGGAAATCTAGAACTTCTTACAGTGGTATCATAGTGCTTTGGGGGACGTGAGTGGTGCTATGGTCTAAAATACTGAGCTTCTTGGGCTTGCTGATTGGAAGGTTGGCAGTTCGAATCCCCGTGAGCTCCCGTTGCTCTGTCCCAGCTTCTGCAAACCTAGCAGTTCGAAAGCACGCCAGCGCAAGTAGATAAATAGGTACCGCTGCAGTGGGAAGGTAAATGGTGTTTGCATGTGCTCTGGCACTCATCACGGTCCTCCGTACACCAGTAGCGGTCTAGTCATGCTGGCCACATGGCCTGGAAAACTGTCTGTGGGCAAACGCTGGCTCCCTCGGCCTGAAAAGCGAGATGAGTGCTGCAACCCCATAGTCATCTTTGACTGGACTTAACCGTCCAGGAGTCCTTTACCTTTACCTATCATAGTGCCTTAATTGGATCTGTTCACATCATCTCTGCCTGAAAGCAACTCTCCAAGATCTCCAAGATAAGAGTTTTCTCCTGACCCTGCTATTTGGAGTCTTCTAACTGAAGAGTCCTGGAACTGAATTTAGGATGTTTTACATGCAAAGCACCACTACTAAGTTTTGCCTCTCCAATCCTCCAGACCCTTCCCAACCCACGTCCTCAAGAAACAGACAGGGAACATAATGTGACGAACAGCTCAAAAGCAACCAGCGTTTGACTGTCTTACCCTGTTCTATTTTGTTTGCTTAGCTTAAAATGAGTTTTTCTAGCGCGCCTGATAAATTATCGCAGTCGCCCCAGCCAGCTTTTTTGCTTGCTGAGTTATGAGATTCCGCTGCCCTAAAAAGATTTCTCAAAATGAAAAGCTTAGATAACAGCTTTCTCCTCGAACAGCATTCTCTTCCCAATTCTCCCCACAAAACCCAGGAAAGCAATTTCGATGAAACACAGGACGGTGCTATGCAAAATCCCAGCTGCCGATCCATACACAATACCATAGATGAGATTTATGTAAATGCTGTGTGCACAAGTAATCTGAACACTCACTGATGAAATCCTTCTCGGATTTGCATCCTCAAGGACAACCGGCGGAAGCCTCTGGGTGTCTTTTCCAGAATATTGTCCTTCCCTGAGCAGAGATTACTGGGCATGTTGAAAAGGCATGTTCTGTTATCACCGCCAATATTTCCGCCTCTCCAAAAGTGACAACAAGCATTTAGTGCATTTATCCCCCAAAAGAAGTCTAATTTTCACAAAGGTAGGTCTTGCTGAATGCTTGGTTCACATTCTAGTAGAAGAGCTCAAAAATTCAAGCTCCTCTGAAATTCTTTTGGTAAAAACAGTCTACAGTGGTACCTCGGGTTACAGACGCTTCAGGTTACAGATGCTTCAGGTTACAAACTCTGCTAACCCAGGAATAGTACCTTGGGTTAAGAACTTTGCTTCAGGATGAGAACAGAAATTGTGCTGCGGTGGTGCGGCAGCAGTGGGAGGCCCCATTAGCTAATGTGGTATCTCAGGTTAAGAACAGTTTCAGGTTAAGAATGGACCTCTAGAATGAATTAAGTTCTTAACCTGAGGTACCACTGTATTTGGGAGACTGTTCCACCCAGCTCACTCTCCCGTCACCAAGTATGCATCCCCTTCCTTTCCATTAAGTCAGAGCCAGCAGCAGTGAAGGTGTCCAAGGAAGAAAAACTAGGCAGGTTTTTTCTCCATAACTTCTCTCCATTGCCTCATTGCATCAGGCTGTGTTGTTTAGTCGTTAAGTCGTGTCTGACTCTTCGTGATCCCATGGACCAGAGCGCGCCAGGCACTTCTGTCTTCCACTGCCTCCCGCAGTTTGGACAAACTCATGCTGGTAGCTTCAAGAACACTATCTAACCATCTCGTCCTCTGTCGTCCCCTTCTCCTTGTGCCCTCCATCTTTCCCAACATCAGGGTCTTTTCCAGGGAGTCTTCTCTTCTCATGAGGTGGCCAAAGTATTGGAGCCTCAGCTTCAGGATCTGTTCTTCCAGTGAGCACTCAGGGTTGATTTCCTTAAGAATAGGATAGGTTGGATCTTCTTGCAGTCCATGGGACTCTCAAGAGTCTCCTCCAGCACCATAAATCAGGCTATCGGCTATCAAAACGCCTGAGCTTGAGGGCCTATGGCAGATGACATTCTCCTACATGGATACTGCAAATGTTGTTACCCTCTCTCTTAATGTTAGAATGCCCTTTGTCAAGAAATGGCCAAAACACTCAAATATGCCATTCCAACTTCACCGCAGATGTGTTTACTGAACATATGGGATGATCCACAGGAAATGTTCAACCAAGGAATAGCTCAGTCGATAGGAGCACAAGACTCTTGAATCTCAGTGTCATCTAAGATAGCTGCACTTCACTGACTAATTTGGGGATAGCTAACCTATGGCCCAGGGACGCGGGTGGCGCTGTGTGTTAAACCACAGAGCCTAGGATTTGCCGATCAGAAGGTCAGCGGTTCGGATCCCCGCAACGGGGTGAGATCCTGTTGCTCGGTCCCTGCTCCTGCCAACCTAGCAGTTTGAAAGCACGTCAAAGTGCAAGTAGATAAATAGGTACCACTCCGGTGGGAAGGTAAACGGCATTTCCGTGTGCTGCTCTGGTTCGCCAGAAGCGGCTTAGTCATGCTGGTACATGACCCGGAAGCTGTACGCCGGCTCCCTCGGCCAATAAAGCGAGATGAGCGCTGCAACCCCAGAGTCGGACACGACTGGACCTAATGGTCAGGGGTCCCTTTACCTTTAACCTATGGCCCACTGTATGTCACTGAAAGATAAAAGGTGATTTCTTTCACAAAAGTTCATTAATTTCTGCTGCTCCAGATGGTAGGACCAGGACCAATGTACAAGAAAGGAAATTCTGATTAAACATTAGGAAGAGCTTTCTGATGGTAAGAGTCATATGACAGTGGAATGGACTGTCATGAAAGGTGGAGGTTTTTTAGAGGTTAGATTGGCATCTGTCTGAGATGCTTTAGCTGTGATTCCTGTATTGCAGGGGGTTGGAATAGATGACACTTCCCACTCTGCAATTCTATGATTCTATTCTTCATTCTTATTACAGGGCTCCACAAAACCCTTCTATCCAGGCTGATTTCTTCTCCATCTTCTGTTCCTTCCTGCTCTCTCTCTCCCCCCCCCCAACACTGCCAGGTTTCAATAATTGATAAGCAATAAGAGC